GGAGAAAAACGAAATTACGGCAACGAGATCCCGATCTCTCGTTGCACCGAGGCTGCTCCCGGCCCGGAGCCCGTCGCGGCGGCTCCTTTTTTTCCGCGTTTCCGGCGGCCTCGGCCGTTTCAAACAGTAGGCGGAATGTCGGAGGAAACGGGAGAGGCCGGCGGGAAACGAGAGGAGAAAGGAAACGGGCGAACTATCGAGGGGGCCACGGTAATTAGCAGGTCAGCTTAGTTAATGCAAGAGCACCGGCTTAACGAATCGTAATGGAAAGTGTGATATTTCGAAAATACGTTTCACCGAGTGCTAAGTAAGCCGTGTACGCGTTTCATTAACCTTCCATGCACACCCGAGATTCGCGTGGAAATAAAACCGAACGAAATAAAGAGAAATCGAAGAATTCGCTTAATCCCGTTCCCCACCGTCGCCATTTTCCGTCCTTCCAATTCTTCTTTTCACCCTCTTCGTCCAGACTCTTCGGACATCTACGCGATTCTAGTTACAGCTTCTCGCTCTTCGCCATTTTCCTTCTTCATTTCCAATTTCTCACTTCACCCTCTTCGGCCATTTACGAGAACTTAGTTACAGCTTCTTACTCCTCGCCATTTTTCTTCTTTATTTTCAATTCGTCTATTCACCCCCTTCGTTCATCTTCTTTGGGTATCTTCGCGTCTTTAGTTACAGCTCCTCGCTCTTCGCCATTTTCCTTACTTCTATACAATTAGTCATTTCACCCTCCTCGGACAATTACGCGATCTTAGTTACAGCTTCTTTATCTTCTTCGCTATTTTTCTTGCTTATTTTCAATGCGTCTATTCATCTCCTTCGTCCACTCTCTGTGGACATCTATGCGTCCTTAGTTACGATTCCTCACTCTTCGCCATTTTTCTTGCGCACTTAAAATTTGTCATTTCATTCATTTCATCCTTTTTAACCATTTACGCGATCTTAGTTACAGCTTCTTTATCTTCTTCGCCATTTTTCTTCCTTATTTTCAATGCGTCTATTCATCCCCTCGTCCACCCTCTTTGGGTATCTACGTCACCTTAATTACAGTTTCTTTTTCTTTCTCGCTATTTTCCTTCCTTATTTTCCTTCCAATTCGTCTCTTCACTCCCTTCATCCATCTTCTTCGGCCATCGACGCGACCTTATTTACAGCTTCTCCCTCTTCGCCATTTTCCTCCCTTATTTCCAATCCGTCTCTTCACCCTCTTCAATGATCTACGCGACCTCGGTTACAGTTCCTTCCTCTTCTTCTAAATTTTCCTTTCTTATTTCCAATGTGTCTCTTCATCCTATCCGTCTACTCTCTTTAGGCATGTATGCGTCCTTAGTTACAATTTCCCACTCTTCGCCATTTTTCTTCCTCATTTCCAATTTGTCATTTCACCCTCTTCGACCATTTATACGATCTTAGTTACAGCTTCATACTCTTCGCCATTTTCTTTCCTTATTTCAAATTCGTCTCTTCGTTTTCCCTCTTTAGGCATCTACGTCATCTTAATTACAGTTTCTTCTTCTTTCTCAATATTTTCTTCCCTTACTTCCAATTTTTCTCTTCACCCTCTTCATCCACCTTCTTCGGCCATCGACGCGACTTTATTTACAACTTCTCCCTCTTCGCCATTTTCCTCCCTTATTTCCAATCCGTCTCTTCACCCTCTTCAATGATCTACGCGACCTCGGTTACAGTTTCTTTCTCTTCCTCGCAATTTTCCTTCCTCTCTTCGAATTCGTGTCTTCACCCCCTTCGTAGGTCCTCACCCTCTCCGGCCATCTACGCGACCTCAGTTACAACTTCTTCCTCCTCCCTGCCCCCTCTCTTTCTCCTTTTTCCATCGAAAATATCGGCAGGGCTATCGAGGCGACTTAAGGGAAGATCTCGTATTTACTTGGCCGGAAACACGATATCCTCGATACCCCGGGACCAAGGGCTGCCCACGTGTTTTACGCTGACCGTTAAAATTCGCTGCTCCGCGCACTCGCGACATCCCGTGCCTCGGCACGCTGGTAGGCGGTGTATTATTTTTCCGCCGGCTCGCCAAATTGGCTCGCACGGATTCGATCTCGAATTACCGACACTCGATATCGCGGCGTAAAACTTGCAGCATCCTCCTCCGGACCCGACCAGCCGGACCGTCTCGCTCTGGAATATCCAAAAAGGAGTTCCACAATGTTCCATTGAGCGCGGATCGGTATAATCGAACCGGGCCCCCGATCTCGTCTTGCGTCTTTCGGCCCTGGTACCACCCGCAACTCGCCTCCTCCATTTTTCACGCCGACGTTGCTCTACACGGATAACAATCTAAGCACGCGAAATCTCGCGCAATTAGTATGTTTATCCATCAACGCTGCGATTACCGATCTCCAATTTACACCTGTTACATTATACTTCGTACACGGAAACTGAGAGTAATTCCACTTTCGGTACATCCGAGATTGGGAAGCTCGTGATCGGCCATTTTGACTAACTTGACAATTCTAGTGTTACAGAAACGAGCAAAACGATACGAAATCTTTAACTAGTGATACTGAGCTATTACATATTCGGAAGGATAACCCTTAGCACTCGAGAGGCAACCCTCAGTCGCCATTTAATTATATTCTAAAGATCGACGTTAATTCATATTTATGAAATTCAAAATTACTCAAAGATGCGTGGAATATCAAAGTAAAATTATTCCACGTCTTAATTTCTATACGATTTTTTATTTATCGTTTTAAAAATTTCGACTTTGTGGCAGAAAGTCTCCAGAATTACTAATTTTCTGTAACATTTTTTGAAAAAATCGCCGAGTGCAGAGGCACTGCACCTCGCTAATTTTCGTACATAATACGGTAAAAGAAATTAACGAAAAGGCGTGATTATCTCGGAAAATCAGTATTCGAGGGTTAAGGTTGCGAACATCGCACGAGTAGCGCTTATTACGCAAATCGGTATCAACGAACGTTGTCGGAATTTTCGGTACGAGCGTTTCGATAAACGGTGGCAAATTGGTTTGGAAATAAAAATGTCCGCGGCGTTATCCGGTGGCGGTATCGTTCGCGAATAAAAATGGCCCACGCGCTAATATCGGCGGCCCGATATCGACTATCGGCGCATTCACTCGCGTTAACCTCACACGCAGCGCGTTCCAACCTACGGAATTCCTATCTCTCGCGATTTCTTAATTCCGCCGGTATCTCGCGGAGATACTCAATCACGCTGATATTCAACACGGCAAACATTCGCGCCGACGCCTCGACGTGGCCTCGGCGAGCTTAATCGCGGGTGTAACAGAATTCGCGTAACGCCGAAACGAGCGAAATTCGTGTCTCGAATGGCTGCCGCTGAAACGAGATTCGATTAGAGCGGCAACGAGCGGACGTCGTTAATGCGGCTTTTTACACGACTCGTTGGCCGAACTGGAAAGTGTCAAAATCGGTGACACACGTCGCGATTCTCTCATTCACCTCCACGGGCTCCTCTAACGTGCTCCTCCGTATGGAAGGCTCTGCTCCGTAACCCAATAGGCTTCCCGTAGGAAGATCATACTTCGGTACAAAGGCTGATCGCTACATCGCACGCGATCACGGTGCACGTCATGGAAACTGACGATCTTCATAGCACCATTTGCTCGTCCTGTGGCCTCGTCCACATCTCGCTCCCTCTTCCAACGGAAGTGCACTGTACGTACGCACGATCTATGCTAACAGAATCGACACCGAAGTCCTTGAATTTATATTTCCTGCATGGTTCATCTCTATCCAGGTTCCTCGTTCCGATAATCCTGCAAAAATCATTAATAAGTAAAATGGATACATTTCCTGGCTTAGCGAAAGCTTACCGTGGACGTTGATGCACAGTCGGTTCCCGCAACGTTTCTTAGAGACGTTTGGGGTTCCAAAAGCGAGGCGTTACGATTTCGGAGCACCCCAGTCACTGGTAGTCACGAGAAATATATTCTTCGGCTCGAGTTGCTCGAATTTCAAAGGCAACCCCGTAGAATTTCGATTAATGGTAAAAGAAAAAGGTAAATGGCCGGCGATGCGTGGAAGTAACGCCACTGGCATCGCGGAGGATCTTTGAGAGGAAATGAGCCATCGGCTGCTTTGTATCCGTTCCCTTTTGTATCGCGGACATTTCGCCTGGCGATCGACGAGAAGAGGTAGTAAAGGGTTTCGAAAAATACTGGGATACGTGCCGACAGAAAGACGTTTTATTCGATTCACAAAGAGGCCCCACATTGTGTCGGTCGCGCACTCCAGGCGATGCCCGGCCACTCGAGCCACACTGTTTCGAGCTTTAAGGGATGCACTAGAATCCACTGTGCACTGCCTCTATTTGCGGCTCGTTTTTCCGCGTTTCGACGCGTGGCCATTCGACACAAAGCCTATTCATGCTCGCCCGCTCTACAATGTTACTCGTTAAATCTATTTATATATGAAGACATCGTTAATTCTCGTCGTTTCGCGTGCGGCGTTACAGAAAGCATAGGAAATTACGGTGTACAGGGCGTTTCGAAATTCGAGGTGCGAACGTGTTCCATGAGATTATCGACGAAGAGAGAGAGAGAGAGAGTGTGAGAGTTAATCGATGAAAGTTCGCGAACTCTTTCGCGAGATATCGATATCTGCAGAGTTCAAAGCGTCAACGACACGCGCGGTTTATACTTCGACGCCTCGAAATTGATATCTTCGCGTGGATTAGATTAGTCCCCGGGGGAAGCTTCCCCGTGGCACGTTCGTGCGTTATATACATCGAGTATGTGTACATGATCGTGTTTCGAAAGCTTCGGCTAGGATTTACATGTCCGCCGAATTTTGAGACACCCTGTATACATGAGACGTTAGACCACTGCGCGAAATTACAATTCGGTGGAGTGGTCATGGGTTCATGGGGTTACGAAACTGGACCTAGCTCCTAAATATCGAGCTGGTTCCCTTCGTCGAGGGACGAGTATCGTTTATACTAAGTTAATACGTTTTTCCAGCGGCTCGCTCCATCCTTCGCCCAGGCGTTCACTCCTCGTTCCGTTCCACCGTCTCGCCGACAGCCAGGATTCTCACCAGATCGTTCGAGGACTCGTCCACGTTCGTATAGGTGACCGTGTCTCGGTTCTTTCGCCTGATGTCCCAGTGACCGATCGGTCGTCTCACCACGAAGAAGCCCACCGCCAGGACCGTGGACACCACCAATATGAAAATGCAGGCCCACAGCACCGGATGGAACGACGTCGCCTCGTCGTCGCACTCCAGCTCCTGACTCGGTATCTCGCTCAGCTGTTTGTTCGCGTGTTGAATAGGGCTGCTGCACCTGATGGTTAAAAATCGAAAAGTTAACGTGGAACCTTCACGAGATCAGAAAGAACAAGGTATAGTTGAATATTCGAAATTATTAGGTAGTTGTGGAGAATATGTTGGAATTTTGAATCCAGTAACAGGTAAATGTGTTGGAATTTGAATAACGTGGAATGGCGGTAATAGCGGTAATAGTGGCGACATCTGTACGAGAATCGCCCAAGTTTTTGGTCACCGAGTAGTTTCGGTTATCGACCGCGGTTAGATGATAAGTTAGTTTCGAGTATTGGCAAATTTGTACTTGCCTTATTTCTCGACTAATTGCCCTCGTTGCGTTCACTATATTCAGCCATTGCATCTTGCAGTCGCAGTTCCACGGATTGTTTTCTAAAGTCAAAATTGGCGTTCTCTTTATTATCGACATGAGGTTGTACTCCAAGGTTTTCAGGCCGCAGTTGCTTATCGAGAGGCGTTGCAGTCGTGGCAGCAGGCGATCGTCGTATGGGAACATTTTTAGAAATTTTACTTTCTTCGATCCATCTAGAGATAGTATTTCTAAACTGATGAAGTTTTCGAAATCATTGAGTACTAATTCCTGTAGAGCTTGCATGTTATTCAATTTCAGTTCTCGTAGTCGAGGTAAATAGACATATCGGAATCGTGTTATATGCGTGTCGGACAAGTCGAGCTCTTCTAGACTGATTGGTAATAGTGGAATCATGTTCACGGGGTTATGTGACAAATCTAAGGTAGATAAATTAGACAGCGTCTTGAAAAGTTCCGAGGAGAAATGCGAAGACGATACATTGCTCAGGTTCAAGTACCGCAGCGCCTTTAAATTCCATAAAGCATTTTCATGAATACCATCGTTGATCGGATTGTTGGCTAGCGTAAGGTATTCTAAAATCTGAAAAACGTGAATCATTAGACCGTGTACTTTTCTTCGCTTACATGTTTCGAAATATGAGATAATTACTTTGAAATGTTCCAGCATAGTTTCGTTAACGATCGATAATTTGTTGCACGAAAGATCGAGTATCTTAAGCTTCGGGATTCGATCGTTGAAGGCATTGTCATCGATGTATTCGAGTTTGTTGTGACTGATGTTTAACATTTGTAAATTGTATTCGTCTTTACAGAGGAAGAAAAACCGTTTAAGATGATTCTGTGACAGATCCAGTGTCCTTAAATTCTCAAGATTGGTGGAGCAGTCGAGGAAACTGTCAAATTCGTTATTCCGAAGAATAAGATCGGTGACTTCTTGCAGACTGAACTGCGATTGCATCCTCACGAAAAAATCTTCTTTCTTCATACCACGGCCGGACAGGTCCACCTGAAAAGTAAATAAAACTTCGGAAAATATTCGACAACATTACTCATTTATCGTATTATACGCGCGAAATATGAAATGCGTAAAAGCAAATTTGTGTGCACTAATACGATACGATATGATAATTCGAAAACAGTCTACGTGATACGATAAAAGATTACGTACGTTTATATTTGTTTAAACTGTCACTAGATAAACAAATGCAAATGTTCCTATGTGTCATTTATACTTGTAACGTGCTATACATCGTGCATACGTTAGAAAGAAAAATACATATGTATGCGTAAACGAGCGGTAATGTATAAAGGGGTGACATTTTCGTTATACGTCTAAAAATAGTGCCACCGAATGATTCGCGAATTATCAAAAGTCTTGTGTATAAACCCACCAGCTTCTTCGATGTCGTGGAAATAATTAAGGCGAGGATCGTGATAGTCTTGAACCACATTGTCCAGGTAGGTTGATGATTATCTGGTACACAGATAAATGCGATACAATTTCGATTTCGTTTGAATCAGTCGCGCCGAGTCCGGCTAGTTTCAACTATGTCTTTCACACAACGATCCTGGAATGGCAACGAATTCATCCGCGGCATACTCTGCTTACGATTACAGTGCCGAATTAAGAGGGGAGCAGAAGGGGCTTCGACATCCTGATGCAGTTCTTTAACCACTTGTATTCTTATACTTTTTTATATTTAAATATCTCGATTATAATTAAGTATATTACGGTCCAAGTGTGATTTACGATTATTGTCCCTTCTTCGATTTCACTCTTCACAAAAACTAATCTTCGCTTATGACAGACATATGGATGTTCTTCTGAAAAGTACCAATGACCGATTGACTTCAAATTTTGAAGACGAGTAACATGGGACGGCGGATTCCGAGATATTAATGACAAATTTTAGCATGGAAAAGAGAAAGGCTGATTTTAAGCGAGACACCCTATAGAAATTGAGGTCAGATATTACCCCGTGTCAATGGTATTCGACATACAGCGTTGGTACTTATTACAAATAAAACGATCATACGAGTAACTGTATAAATAAATTTCTATATGTAGTACGAAGATCTTTTCATTAATATATTGAAAATTATTAAATACTCGAAATTAATATTTTATGATTAAAATTTGAACCCTTTCTCTTCCCTCCACGTCCCTTCATCTGTGGTGCTGTTCAAAAGTACATCCAAATATATTTTTAAATGAAAAGCGCCACGTCTATATTTTCGAATACAAGTATGGTTTTTTGCCAAAAATTTGCCAAATTCAATCCTCGTTATTATTATTAACTTTTGTACACTTTTTATTCGATTCTCTGGTAAAATCTTTTTATCAAATTTTATCAATTTTTTTGCACTGTTTTATAAATTTCCGATAAAAAGGTTAATTTTTTACCGAGTCCTTCACGTCGAGGATACGTACACTGAATACTAACAACGATTCGTACAACACAGCAAGCGAGCGAGAAATGAAAAATATTTCTTCGAGTATCCTTTCGAACGGATTCGCGGGGCGCGCGCCGTGTTAATCCGTACTCGGTTGGTTCAGAATCCAAGAAGCTAACACATCACTTTTTCGATAAAGCAAGATTACGTCCCGATCCGCGCGTACATTCTGTTTTGTGTTTGCTTTTTTCCAACGGGCCCCTTAATCGCCACGTATTTTTTAATTATTTTTTCAATTAATTTATGTTCGCACTACGATATCACTGAACGTTCATTTCGCGCGACAAAACTTAATGGCGGGCATTAAACGCGGGGCAATAAAAAAAACATGAACGAGAAGAAAAGCAAGAGAGGAACGCTCGGGATAACACGGTGCACCATACACCATTAATACTATTGCAACTCGAATGCGATGCGCGACTAATTATTGGACTGTCGACGGAAATGTGCAAACGTATCTGGCCATGTTCGAAAAATAAAAATATATCTGTCAGCGATAAAGCCAGCTTCACGAGGTATCTAACCATGATAATGCGTTTCGCTATGGTTCTTTTATTACAATTAATGTAAAATTAAATGTATTTTCTCCTATGTCGTTGATACAACTCGTTTTACTTTTCAACTCAATACTTCTTCTTCGCTTCGTGTATTTTAAATCTTATTCTCGCAACGTTAAGTTTTTTCGTTTTACGAGTATGGTAATAGGGATAATATTCGAATATTGTTCTAAGAGATTTTTACAAATCATTGTAATCATAGGTGCATGAAATACTATATACTGGATTATTTTTATCAAGAATTATATATTTATAGCATCACATTTTTTATTTTCTAAAACTGATATAACTATTAGTTATTTACGTATCAACAGTTTAGAATTGTAATCATTGAAAGATTAATTTGTCTTATTGGAGGAAATATAGCATATGATAAACGTTCTGCACTTAATATTGATCAACGGAAAATCCATCTTACAAATGTAATATAAACGATTCTGTTTATTAAGAGTCATGCATTTATTCACAGAATCATATCGTATTCACACCCATGACGGATTATTTCCGCCAAGATGTATGATACATAATAACAAATATTTCATATTTTTAACGTTTGTACGATAACGTACAATGTGGCAAGAGGGTCGTTCACTTTTTCGGAGTTTGCGGTGTACTCGTCGCTTTGAATACCAATGGATTTGATACTCGAAATATGCTCGGTAACATTGTAGCTAGAGTTCCAAATACTTCCTCTGACATTCCCTAAAATATATAAATACTCGTTAAAAATGAAAAGGGAAAAAAAGTTTTAATGAAACAAGTAAAATTTTGTTCCATTTAAACCTTAGGTACTAAGAATTGTAGATTTTTTAATTCGGCGCCACCCCAAGATGCCATTTCTATCATGAATCCTTTTACGCATTTAAAAACGAGTTCTGCCCTCTTTGTACACCATGCTACAGTCATATCCTGAAATGAGAAAATAATTAAATGTATCTTTTGATGAAAAATGATATTACTAAAAAAAATTTATTTTTTATAACAAGATGTACCTCCGACATTTCATGTACAAGCAGTATAGGAATAGTTAGCGTGGTCACATCATTGCAACAGGCTGTTTTCAAAATGTTTCGTAATCCTAAAATAACCGGATGCCTCGAATTGATATCGCCTGTAAACTTAGCATAAATTTTTATCAATGCGAAGAATCAATACTCGAAAAAAATGTTCGTTACTCACCAGATCGTAACGAATCGTTTACTACCATATGGAAAATTACATGAACTTGTGCTAAATTTGAATGTCTTGTAATATAAACATCGCCTGTTTGTAGACTTTTGCTACCAGTTGATCTTTTTGTCTATAAATAGTATATATATTTAGAATGCATTTAATAAGAAACAAGTATCAAATTCTTTTAGTTTAATTTTGCTCACTTGTGACTCGTTTCCTTCTCTCTGATGCGCTTGTCTCCAAGCAACAGCATCTTTCACGTCTTCCCGAATTTTCTCTAATTGTTCATCGATTGGTGGGAAATGAAACTCTGTCGTTAATTGACATATCGAACATAATTCTGAAAGAAATTGTTAACATATAATTATTAATTATACATACGCGAGCAATACTACAAATGCAATACCTTTTGTTATTCCCGAATAACTTCCTAAATGATTGTCGCTCAATAGTACTAATCCACATAAATCATTAGAATATAATCCTAAAGCAGTCTGAAGTCTTTGAGGCGTCGGATCCATACTGTTAAAAAATAAAAATCGAAAGATTTATTTCAAACAGGATTTACATAATTATTTTTTACAATTTACCAACCCAGACTCGCTCTTTTTTGTTCTACAAAAATCTAAAACATCTCCAGTTAGTATGCGTATATTATGCATTTGTTTCATCTGGGATCCTAAATGTATAGTGAAACTTTCCTCCAAAATAGGATATTCCGTCGTATTTTTTTCCTCACTATGAACAAAGTTGTCCAAAGCCGGTCGTATTGGTGGCATCGATAGCATTGGAGAACCTCTAATAATCACATGATACAGAATTATTAAATCTATGTCACTTGTATATTTATTTTCTTTATATAAACGTACACTGGAGTTGGTAGCATGTTAGTTTGCTGTTCTTCCAATAATCGCATGATCCAGTTGCGATATTGCCGCCTTTGTTCTAATTTCAATGCATCGACTCTTGATCCCCAATGACCTTGCAATAAACTTTGTTCTTCAAAATGTCGTCCAGCCATCTCATTTATAGATTTTTCGGTGGAACCGGCCTCCAAAGCTTCGACAGCGACCCGCATTTCTTCCGTTTGTCTGGAATTCATCTCGCTGACATTACTATACTTCCTTTCTCTTTCTTTTTTATTTGCAAGTGTTTGTAAAATAATGATAGTTAAATCAAATATATTCACAACTGATATTAGATCAACTGTATATCTTTGTGCAATTACAAGTCAAATTTAAAATTATTAAAATTGTGGCAAATTCTAACTGTTATAGTCTCTAATATACTAGTGTCCAATATAAATTTGTGAAAAAAAGATTAGTCGAGACAGAGAGAAAAAAGGGAGAACATGATTAAATTACAAAAATGAGTTATAAAAATTGATTTATATTGGAGCTGTCAGTAATCTACACAGAAAGGTCAATGCAACTGATAATTTAGATTACACATATTGCTGTATGTACCATAGATACTAGGACATGGATCTTGACCTTTCTTTTCTAATATGACATATGAGCTGGAAGGCGCAAGAAAAATGTGTAGAAAACATTTTTTTTAGCATGATAAAGTATTAATACTAACTTTTGTGTGAGTTGTTCATAGTGTGTATCTCTCATTTGAACAACTTCAGTTACATCTCTTCCAAATTTATGTTCTGCTTGAAGAATAGGTTCTAACGAAGGAGAATGTACCAATCTATGATATGCAGCAGCAAACAGTTCTTCGTCCGTTGTTCCAATGGGATCAGCATAGTCTACTGTCTTTTGTTTATAGATCTTTTCCCAATTTTTTATAATATCTTCAATATCTAATGTTCCTGATTTTGTATTTTCAATAGCTTTCTCTGCTTTCTCATCATAAAACTCCAATGTTAGAGCTTTAATATTATGTTTTAGACATTTTAATAAATCTGATTCCACATAAGATGGTAATTTAAAAGATGTCATTATACGATGCATGAGTTCTTTGACAGAACCATGATATGGTATTTTTAATGGTACTTCTAATACGTATTCTTGATTTGTGGTACATGTTGGAAATTTATATATAAATGTTTTGTCCACATATTCATCCTCAGGCATATTCATATCTTTTTAAATAGTTTTTCATTATACTTTTATATCCAGGTATCTGTATTTTAAGGAAAGTAAGTAAATTAGTATGTACAAAAATTAATTTAATCCAACATTTAACAGTAGATATTTTTAAAGTATAAGTAAGAATAAAGAGACATAAATTAGACATATAATATCATAGCATATCATTATGTGTGCTTGATTATTATGATACCAAGAAAGGTCAACCTTATTTCTTTTTAGTCAACATCAATATTTTTCAAAGGTCAGCTTTCACAACACTCAAGTCATAAGGTCAATGATAAGCTGTAGAAACACCTCTGATTGCATTTTTTATCTATACTCTTTTAAAAACAATTATTTTCATGTATTAATTGTAATGGCTTTAGATTTGCCTTCTAGATAAACTCTCTTATCAAACACATATACAAATTTGAAATTGCTTTTGTAAAAAGTCAATTAAAATCAAGCAAAACATATTCCATTATATTTTAATTTTAGTACAATGAAAATATAGTAGTGTTTGATACAAAACATATTTATAAAGTTTATTTTGTGTTCTGTAGTTGTGCAAACATTTAAAGAAAATATTTGTTCTTCAATTTTTATTACTGACTAATGAGGGCGCTAGTAGAAAGATCATTGTTTTGTTTATAAATAATTGGTTTAGTAAATGCATTCTTAAGTTAGCGATTTAAGGTTATAGCAGTATTTGTGTTATATAGTTCCGTACAAATGTAAATATTCTTGAAAATATATATAATTTGAACAAATATCACAATAAATTTATACATGTATCGTATTTCTTCGTTTACGACCTAACCTAAATCTTGAAAATTATACTTGCAACTTATTTGTACTTTCGTGGTTCGCAAGTCTTGTCTTGATAAGCCATGTGTTGTCATTTGTCAAGGTTTCTTCCGTTTTGTTTTAAATAAAACATTTTATACGAACAGTCAAAACACACTCATAACAATCATAAAAAGTTTTAACGCCCCTTGTCATTTGATCGACAGTTCTTCCAACGTTAACATTTCTAATCTCGTATTAAGAAATAAACATATTATTATGTTACATTTTAAGCATATAGTATTAAACAAAAAAATCTTATTTCATAGACTAATTTCATGATGCATCGTAATTTAGAGATTATTTAATGATTGTCTTCTGTATCTCCTATTCGAATGAATATATTACTATATTGGTAGTACTTACTGTACGTAAACTGTCGGCAAGATTGTGGATTAAGATTTTGGCGGCAATAGGTTTTCAAGTATTAAATTAAATCTATTTATCATGGTTGAAGACAAAAATCAAAACGTAGAATTGACAGATCATGAGGCTGAGTTATATGATAGACAAATTCGATTATGGGGTTTAGAATCACAGAAACGGCAAGTATAGTACAATCTAACCTCTAAAATACCGAAATTTCGAAATAAAAGAAATTGTAATTTTATAAGCTGTATTAAAAAATACTAACAATATTTATGTAATAAATAGGAAACATATTTAATTCGCACGTGCTTTTAAAGTAACATATAACGTTGAATAATTATAGGTTACGGGCAGCTAAAATTTTATTAATAGGTCTAAATGGTTTTGGTGCAGAAATAGCAAAAAATATCATTCTAGCAGGTGTTAAGTCAGTTACATTTTTAGATCATAGAAATGTAACAATTGAAGATAGGTGTTCACAATTTTTAGCACCGAAAGGTTTCATTGGAAAAAATGTAAGTAAATAAAAAAATATAGAATGCTTATAGAAAGGTATATTATCTATATAGGAATTATGGTTTTAGAGAGCTGAAGCATCTTTACAAAGAGCACGAAATTTAAACCTTATGGTTAATATTGAAGCAGATACATCTAATGTAGATGATAAGCCAGATACGTATTTTAGCAATTTTGATGTGGTTTGTGCAACACAATGTTCTATTACACAAATAAAGAGGATAAATGAGGCATGTAGAAAGCACAATGTCAAATTTTTTTGTGGTGACATATGGGGATCATTAGGTTATACTTTTGCTGATTTAATGACTCATGAATATATAGAGTAAGCGAATTCTTAAACAATATTTAGAAGAATTCATTTATTAGCGTGAGTTACCCAAAATGGCATTTGTTCTACTTTACAGGGATGTAGTGCAAACAAAGAAAATACAAATATCAGAAAGTGGTGAACCAATACAAAAAGAAAAATTTGAAAACATGATTGTAACTGAAAAACATGTAGATACTTTTGTACCTTTTAAATCAATTTTAAATATTACAAAGTCTTCTCTTCCGAAAGATTCAGAAATATATTATATGATATTAAGTAAGTACTTTGGAAAATCTCTTCTATAATGGTATATGTAATACAGTTTTACATTAAATATTTTTACATTAGTAATGCTAAATTATCGTGAAAAGTATGGAAAAGATCCATTGCCTAGTGAAAGGAATTCTGAGAATTTTAAGGCAGAAACTGCTGCAATTATAAAAAAATATGATTTAGAGGATAAAATAAATCAATTAGTGGAGTATGTATCTAGAAATATTATTTTATTTAGAAGATTTAGTTTTAATTTACTTAAGACTAGATTATAAAATTTATTATTGATGTAGGGGTGATTTATATGCTCAAATTAGTCCAGTCTGTGCCATTGTTGGAGGCATTATGGGGCAAGAAATAATTAAAACAGTTTCACAAAAAGGTACTCCACACAATAATCTGTTCATCTTTAATCCAGATACATTATGTGGAAAAATTTTGAGATTGGGTCAGTAATAATAATTTCACAGGGTGGTATGTTCAAATATTTATGTCTTCTGTGATTATCATAAGCATTTTTTTTTGCAATTACATATTCGACGTTTTCTTACTAAAAAAGATGTAATAAATGTATATCCAAAACAAAGAAGAAATGTTACTGTGTTACAACTATCTTCCTTTATGCTTAACTCTTCTTAAATGTTAAGTTAAAATCCTTGAATAATTTAATATTAATATTAAATTACGTTATCAGTTCAAAAAATCATTACACATTTACCTCAGGGAAGAATATCTTCTGGGCCTTTCCTGATATATGAATAGTAATTTCTCATTTTTAATTACGTTTCAAGCTCCGCTTCAAAACCGAGAAGAACGTATCGCCCGAGTTTTGGAGCTATAATTACGAATTACAATATCAGTTAATGTTCAATATACATTATATTGTATATGTACGCATTGCTGCATTTCGATGTTTTTCCTTTCGAAACAAATAAATGTTGAATGTATATGTTCTGTTGGTAAATGTGGTTTATCACACTCGCACACATTCCAAGATATTTTTGTTCACCATGTACTCGGAAACGAAGGGGTCCTCGTGCGTAGGTAGAAATATGACTCACTTTCCCGGCTTCCGCCGGGGCAATTTGAGACCCGCTTTGCGGATTTTTTTCGTGTCCTCTCGCGTGGAAAACGCGGTGGGAAACGTGAAATGGAAATTGAAAAATTGGAAAAGGGGGAGCGAGTTGGAGCACGGCTCGTTATGCTTTATCGGCTCGCTCGATATTACCTTCGCTACCGCGACAATCTCTTTTTATGCTTCGACATTATTTAAAACGTTGTACCCTTTCGTGCAACCTCTCTGATGAAATCCGCTCATTTTTCACTGTTCAAATTTAATCGACTTTACAACGAAGCCCCGAATTCGTATAACCCATGCATACATACTTTCCTCATCTTTATTGTCCTTTCAATTAGTTATATCCACCTATTTGCTTTTCCCGAAGGTTTTTCTAATTTACGTAATTATTTTTAGTTCAATAATAACAATCGTAAATATTTCATCATAATAATATAGAGATCTTAGAAGCGTGGAAAATGACTTTTAGAGATGAGAAGTCGATATCGAATTATTACGTCGCATTAATAATTGCGCACGGTGACCTCTTTTGCGCAGAATCCCAAGCTTCGCAGTTTTATTTGTACGCATTAACGCGGTGTGTAGGCGGTCAGGAATGAATTCGATTTTCATGGACGAATTATGAGATATCGTCCTTTTTCGTGGGCACGATGTCGATGTTACGTAATCCGATGATTATCACGCACGGTCTGTAAGTGTGAGTGTAAGTGATTCGAACTGTAAAACATCCCTCTCGTGTCCTTTTCCTCAGTTGCAGGTACACGCGTGTACGATCGCGTTCCTTAACGATATGGTCACGTGCTTTCACGGTTGTCGAATTATCTTTCACGAGGCGCCTTTCACTCGTGTCCCGTGCTCGTCGAAAAACCATTAACCCAACCGGGACTCGTCGTATGAACGGTCACCCTTGCTCCTCTTAATTCGCGTTGGTACGCTCTTTCGCGTTTTCTCCGTACCAGAGTAGGCTGAACCACTACGTGACTGATCTGCCGTCACGTATCCGTGAGCGCGACCAATTGTGTTGACTGGTGATTTATAAATTTAATAGTCCATCGTCATTCCGGCGGAAACGAGCCTGCTTCGCGCGAGAATTTTGCTTATGCGTCAGATAAAAAGTTTCATGGTCGCGAGTGGATCCATTCGGACGGTTGGAATCTATTCGGGTTATTGCGCAGTGAGATTAATTCAATTACGCGTAAATGTAGCGATTAAAGTTTAAAATTTTAATTTCTTAGTGAAAACATTCAGGAATACATTAAGGAATATTCAGTTCATGGATGATATTTCACCCTCATTTTGTCGGATATCTAGTATGAAATATTTCATAGTGTATAATTATTGCGTAGTTGCTATCGATCAAATTTTATAATCGTCGGTTCTATCGCGAGAACGTGAGCTATGTTCATGTATCAGCGTAGTGGATATGCGCACAACCGTTCTAAAATATGACCGACCCGCGCAACAATTTTCCCGCGATATTATCTCGCGGCAAATAGGTTAGAAGACGTACAGGTACTCCCTGTGACTCAGGTAAGGAATTTACCGAGACTACTGTCACGGTTGCCGCACGTATATTCATTGAATCAATACGACACGTATGCCCCTAGGAATGTTAAACAACTGTGGAGGAGCAAACATAGAGGAACACGTGTTTCATTTCCAGCTATATGTATGCTTGTTTCAACGTTTCACCGGATTGCTCGTTAAAACGAAATTATCACCACGCAAATGCGTCTAAACAATCTTGTTCTTGACAAGGTAACTTAACTTTCTAATTTAATTTTATGATTTTATATTATGCCTGTTTTTATGCTTTTGTTCCACTTTATTGTATAAATTTCTTTTTAGCTATTCAGTTCATATGCATTTCCATCGCGATGATTGCGTGTCTCTTCAATCGAAATGGAATATAGTAAGTTGCTAGTGTGAATAGTTCAAATTTATGCTTAATCATCGGGGAATTGAATACTACGTACTATTTCTCCCAGTAATGGATTAGGGTCAAATAAAAACAGTTTTAACCTCAATATTTTATATCAATTAAATTTACTATTTTTTACTCCTTATACGACACGTAACGATATAAGGCTCATCAGAGAAACGAAGAATTCAGTGTCACATAAGGAGATAAGGATATGGGCTAGAAGAGGAACGTAATTTTTTCGTCGTAAATTTCTATGCATCCAATTTACCTTCGAGTTTCAAAGTCGAGGCGTGAACTATGCCCGGGGATTTGTCGTAAGGACAAGAACTGGTTTGCCAACCACTCTCGTTTCGAAAGTCCATCGTAGGCAAAAGAGAAAAAGAGAGAAAATGAAGAAAGAGAACGGAGGAAAGAGGGTGCGCCCTTCACACATCGCGACTGCACACGCTGATTTATGGTGCGACGAAAATTATTGCCGCTGTTAAAATACCTCCAGGCGTATTTATTGACAGACACGCGTTGCCTCCGCGAGACTGTTCATGAAACGAGGCGGCCCTCAAGACGACAAGACTGTGCTTAAGTCGACTCTAAACGCCGGCTGTAAAGCCTCCCGGTAGAAACGAATCGTAAGGGTACCGTTTTCGCCAGAAACAGGCCGCGTTTCTTCCAAATATGCAACTTTAATGGCTCCTCATCGAGGCTTCCGGACGTCGAAGTCGAGCTCCCAAGCGTTTTCAAGCGTTGCTGAACAAAGTGCTTTCGCTCGCGATCTGAAATTCGTTTTAGTCTTTCATCCCCGTTTACTTCTTCGTTTCAATAATCTTCCAAGTTTTCATCGTATAATCTTTGTATAATACAATTTGTTACAAGCTCTTCCATAACTTCGCGCAATTTTGTATTAAAAATTTGTCATATGAAGATTTTTAGAGCGTTTATAAGTATTTTAGTCGCTAAAATAGCATAATTGATTTTTCAAATCACTCGAAAAATTGTAAAAATTTGTTCATCGCAAAGCCAATTGGACGTGTGGCGCCTGGCGACTCGCGATTCTAAGCATTGCCGGTGGTGGGCGACTAAAATTAACCTTTCCGGCAACAACCCCTGCGATTCTCCGTGCAAACATGCAACTGGAGTCGCCGGTGTGTTCGTCGCCGTGCTAAATCGTCCGTGCTTGTAATATTCGAGCAAGGATCGTCGGCGGCAAAAATTGCGTACGTGAGGCAACTGCTTACGACTTCGTTCGTTTACTAGCCGCTTCCTATTTATACCGGTTGCCGCGACGTTTCTTTCTTATCAGTGTCTTATTGTCTCTACCCACCCCGCGTGTTTGGCCACGAGTTTATTAACTTGCCAGCCGTGAAAGAACCGGAGTATCTTCCGGTTTCCGTCTCGTGGCTACATTTTAAAAGGGTTTCGTTGGCCCTTCCAACGAAGAACGGGCGCGTAGGTGAAATTCCGCGGCCGAGACCGAAGGAGGAAGGCATAAAAGGCTTTCATGGCCGGTTTTCTGACCGTAGGGACATAATATTTTTTCGGAGAGGAGGTCGGAGGCGCGTGGATCACCGACCACCGAGTGCATTAACAAAATAACGTAATAAAATCTGCCCCCGCGGTCGCTGCTCTGCGTCCCTTCACCCTTTCCAGCTGGATTCCTTCGCTCCGTTCTTTCTCTCCTCTGTCACTCCGGTTTCTTTCATTCCTTTTTCTTTTTCTAGGTGGTCGCTCGTAAAATCCGATACATTGTGCGGCCAGCCGTGGCGTATTCGTCATGTCGAGACACACCGAAGACACGCAATCGACGAAACGAAAGGATTGACCCCGCGCTACGTCCACGACCTCCACTTCCTTCGTCCTGAACCACCCCAGCCCCCTGGTGTTCCACGAAGCATCGATTCACAGGGTAAGTCCTACCGATACCTTCTTTCATGGCTTTCGTACGCCACGTGTAATGCATGCAGTTCCCCGTTTTACTGCTCTGCGTGATTTCCTCGATTACATCGAGCCTCGTTACTTCGAGACGTCGGGAACATTGTAGCTTATGGACCATCTCGATTCGCGAACGAAATTCGAGATCACCTCGGATCTCGCAAGACTCGCGATAATAATAAAATTCATAATTTAAAAATTCAACTCTTTTCCCGTGGCATGCTTAAACGTAAAAGCCTCATTGACTTTCGTATTTTCTCGAATGTAGACTTTATATATCGTTCGTCGATGGCTGAAAATTTTGTTCAGTTTTATTACTTTATAGGTGACATACAATTTATTGTGGCACAAATTAGAATATATTTAATTACAAATTGGGCTTGCTGTCAACGAGGATGAACATAATATTCTACAAGCACTTGTATATATTCTTCAATATTTTACGCGATTAATCCAATTATCGCCCAACCAATGTAATGAAAAATGGCAAAATGGCCTGTATTTATTTTACCAAGACAAAGGGTTAAGCCTTAAGCCTCAAATCCTCTCTTCGAGGCGTCTACCAACGAATCTCGCCTCCCAATCAGAGAATCACGAGAATTCAGGACCCAGCTCGAGTGGAGTTTCAGATTTCGGGCTGGGCTACGATTCCCCGTAATATAGCCCGGCTTTACGAGCAGCCATCGGTGCAGTTCCGACAGTTTTTAGGGTCAAACGAATAGCTAATGCAAATACGGCTTCGCGGCCGGCATTATTTCACCTCCTGCCTCCACGATTCGCCGTTAGTCTGGTCTGGCTGGAGACGGGGATCTTCCTTCGTCTCCTTTGACCCTCCGTCGTGCTTTCCATTGGTCCACGCGTCCCTCGTCTCGCTTTTGGCTGGGACATTACGCGAGAACTTAATGCTGTTCGTTATCAATTAAGACACGGTCGTTGCAATTAATTCCCGCGGCCGGTATGGAAACGAGAAGCGGAAACGACGTCGTCTTACGAAGGCGAAACGCGCCGGTAGGGGTAACTTCCTTCGGATCGTGGTCGAATGTCTTGGCGATATGCGCTGGGAATAAAGCGATTCTCCGAGGAGAGAGCTTCGTGTAATGATCTTGATTAAGAGGGAGCATTCGAGTCTTGTCTCATTTCGTCAGATGCTTCTCCTTTCGTTTAATTCTTTCGTCCTCAACGCGCATTTCGATCCTCATCGATTGGTACTGGTGATGACAATGGTCATTTAGTAAATTGATTAACTAAATTAATTTATTCCAGGCTGAATTTATTCCTTTAATCATATTTATTCGATATGTACATCTGTGAATATTCGTATAGGTTTCTAATATTTTATATTATATATTTCCTTGATAAAAGCTATATTATTTACAATTGTATGCAGTCAGTAGAAAATTTAACCCTTTGCACTTGAGAGGTGACTCTCAGTCACCGTTTATTTTAATGCTAAAACTTGACGGATGATGATAATTATATTAAGAACATCGAAATAAAATTATCCTATTCGTCCGTTTCTCACGCAAATTCACGATTTTCTTTTCTTAATTTTCGCATAAAGAGTATCAGTGAGATTATCAAAATCTAAGAAGAGCTTCGAATTGCATCTTCGCAGCGAAGAAATCTTCGAGTCCAAAGGGTTAATAACGATGCGTTCGAAAGAGTGATATGTAAGGGGTTTTACTAAGCGAGGGCTAGGTCACGAGTCTAACTCTCGATGGCCTATTCGATATTCTTCTTTTCGCTATGAGGTACGCACATTCTCGTCTTTCCCGTAAACAGTGTGTCAATAACTCCTCTCAAGCACTGTTTAAGAACTGTCTCATACGCTTCTCGACCTGCCCTTTTAAGAATGGGCCTCCTTTGTTCATTGATCGCGGATCAAGCGGATCGCCTTTTCGATTTGAGACTCCGATTATCAATGCTACTTGCTCCTCGCCTAATCTTATATATTTTTACAGTTATAAAATAAAAAGTCCCAATCTGTGCGAATGACGTGAAAAAATATAGAGTCGACGAGATACGAGCAGTCACGAATGAGAAGTAGGAAGCAGGAAAAATTAAACGATGCTTTATAAAATAAAAAGTACTAAGCTTCCGGAAGTCAAAGCCCACTGACATGCCATAAAACAACCCCTAATCACGAAGGAAGACTTCACGCTTGGCGAGCATCGTCTCCCGGATGTTTTTACAAAATTTAAAGGAGAAACTCAAAGAAACTGGAAGAATCTGTATGTAAATTAATAACGATGCGTTCCACGGAGTGTTATAAAATAAAAAGTCCCTATCTATGCGAATGACGTGAAGAAATATAGAGTCGACGAGATACGAGCAGTCACGAATGAGAAGTAGGAAGCAGGAAAAATTAAACGATGCTTTATAAAATAAAAAGTACTAAGCTTCCGGAAGTCAAAGCCCACTGACATGTCATAAAACAACCCCTAATCACGAAGGAAGACTTCACGCTTGGCGAACATCGTCTCCCGGATGTTTTTACAAAATTTAAAGGAGAAACTCAAAGAAACTGGAAGAATCTGTATGTAAATTAATTACGATGCGTTCCACGGAGTGTTATAAAATAAAAAGTCCCTATCTGTGCGAATGACGTGAAGAAATATAGAGTCGACGAGATGCGAGCAGTCACGAACGAGAAGTAGGAAGCAGGAAAAATTAAACGATGCTTTATAAAATAAAAAGTACTAAGCTTCCGGAAGCCAAAGCCCACTGACATGCCATAAAACAACCCCTAATCACGAAGGAAGACTTCACGCTTGGCGAGCATCGTCTCCCGGATGTTTTTACAAAATTTGAAGAAGAAACTCGAAGAAACTCGAAGAAACTGGAAGAATCTGGACTATCTTGGCCACTACCCTCCATTCTGTTCTGATATTCCGATCGATTCCGCGTTACGGGGCCAAGAGCACGCGTTGTCCTGGGCTGTCGACCCTCTCCTCCTTTCTAGTTTGCTCTCTGCATAGGCGTAAATTATAATGCCCAGGCTTAGAGACCGCCACTCTGACAAATTACAGGTTTGTTCTCCGGCCACCGGAACGCGCGTCGGAGATAGATTTCGTCGCTCCATCACCGTCGCTCTCCAAACCGGACCTCGCGCGGCTATGCATATTAATTCAATTTCAACCCTCCCCGCGTCGGTTCCGAAACTCCCCCTCCGACCGACCGCCGGAATTTATTTTTATTTCTTTTTCCCTCTCGAGCTATCCTCCGTTCGTTTATTTCTCATCGTTCGGTTCGTGTTTCGAGCTGTTACGCGTTTCGGAATTTTACCATACACGATGGCTGTCGGTTGTTCCATGGGATATCATCTCGACGTGGAAAGCGAACTGTGACTGTGTGTCTATCGTGAGAATCCGAAGTCAAGATTCGCTCTATTCTGCGGTTGCTAATTATGTACATACGTAAAGCCTGCGGATAGGCAACCTGTGGTACAACGGTGCAATTGCGGTAGCGGATGCATAGGGGACGTACCGCGGTATATATAGGTATACTGGATCTATCGTGACCGATTCGAAGATACTTTTTAAACTTCTGATTAAAAATTGTGCATTCAGTGTTATAGCTTTCGTCATTTCACTTTGTGACGGCCCTTAAAGTATGTGCATACAGAGTGAAATGAGAAATAATTTATCCATAACTATTCTCTTAAATGTTGATACAGAAAGATACGCGTTCTAGTAAAAAATTCATGGTCACCTCGGTACCTCGTAAACAAATAAATTATACAGAAATATCATTTTATCATTATTCATTTTCTTCCGGTGTGAATAACAGATAATCGGATTTTCTATATGTACCTCTATTAACCCTTTGCACTCGAGAGGCGCCTTTCAGTCGCCATTTGATAAAATTTCGAAGCTCGATATTAATTAATATATCAAATTTAAAATAATGTAACAGTGTGCAAGGTATCGAAATTAAATAATTCTATGTGTCAATTATTACACGATTTCTTATTTACTGCTTAAAAAATATCATCAGCTTCATGGCAGAAAATTTTTCAATTCGTGCCCTTCTTTAGCCAAAAAATCGTCGAGCGCAAAGGGTTAATTTGCCTCGCTTAGTAAAACCACTTACATGGCACTCTTTGGAACGCATCGTTATTAATTTGCATACATGCACATTATCCACTTGTCCTTATTTTATATCACTTTTCATTCGCGTATCTCGTCTATTTTATAATTCTTCGCGTTATTCGTGCGAGTCACTACCCATTGAAACTGCTCGTTCAAAAATGACTCTCGTGTCTCGCTGCGTCCCTAAATATTCCGTAAGTATTCTGCAAAACGTGTCGCGAGTTCCTCTTCGCGTCATGAGCCTCGAATCGAGACATCCGTCTCCACGTTGATTTCCACTCTCCGCGAAACTCGACGAAAGGACGGCTCCCTTGTTAACCTCGTTACACCGCGTTCTCCCGTTTCTTTGCTCGTTGCCGTAAAAATCCGTCGAACAGAAAGCACTCCGGCTGCGACGAGTCGTTAAATCGTTCCTTCCTGCTCGAAGGCGGATTTGTCATGTTTCTTCTGGTTGCTCGCCGGGGCTTAAGCTAGTTCTTCTTAAACTCCGGCCGAGAGTCGGGGCTCTCGACTCGCCAGGGTGGCGAAGACGGGAAGGCAGAACGTCTAGGGAAAAATGGAGGGAAAAAGGATAAAAATGCGGCGAACGGGGAACGCATCCGTTAAATTACAATGGGCACGCCGTCGTCGCGTTACAATGTTTTCCATGGAGGTTGCGTGGAAAGAGAGAGGAAGCGTATCATAAGTTACCGTGTGTGGCAGAGGGACCGGTGACGGTCGGTTCAGTCCATATTTCATGCTTTTGTTCGATTCTGTCGGGCATTATTTTAGGTTACGTCGAGAAATGCTTTCTGGATCGCGGTTTACCGTTCTCTTCCTCTCGCCACTTCTTCCGATTCCCGGCTTTTTTCCTCCCTTTCTCCTTCCACCCCCTCGGC